ATTCTTTGCGCTACGCAGTCGTCAAACAATATTAAGTTCTTTCGATTGCTATCAATATTAGACAAGTCTAGATCATTAACATTTTTCGTAAGAAAAACTTTTATATCCGTTGGATTGAAAGATGGATTCTTTGATTTAATGAAGTTTTCTATGATATCTTTTATTTCCACTTCTTCGTTTTCTTCGTAATATTGAAATACGTCTTTCTTTGGTAAATATTCTAAAGCTTTGAGGAATTGATAATACGATTGCTCTGGTGTTGTTGTGTAGATATACAGAGAATCGAAATCTAAAAGGTTTGGTGTTGTCAACATGTTAAAAGTGAGATGAGTTTTCCCAGAACCTGAACTACCGCAAATACACATGAGCATTGGGTTACTAGGAAATATGTCCGAATGTTTGAATTTCTTGCCCATTTTTATTTATTACATTTTCGTACCAAAAATCACTCCGTTGCCTTTATACTTTGAAAGGAAGATTCCCTCGCCCAAACGTATGTTTTTAAAAAATATGGCGTTGCCCTTGTGTTTGACCTTCATTTCTCCGGTGTTGATTTTATCTATTAATTTGCTTAATCCCTCTTTAACGGTTTCTTGGTTTTTTCGCCAAATCTTTGTCCGAATTCTTTAACCGTCCCTAATATATCTCCTACTCTCGAACTTCTATTATTTTCATAACTAAAGTTTCTGGTTTCATTTTTAAAGGGTGTTTTTTTATTCAATTCTTATCATTCTTCTATCTGATATTTTAATCAAATGTTTGCTTCTTCCAGCAATAAACAGTAGCCGGTCACATCTCCTTGTGTTTTATCGATGTGAATATTTATGGTTACCCCTGTTTTGAAAAGATCTTCTTGATGAAACAATTCGCACATGTTTTTATAGTTTCTGTACAATTCGTTGTAATCTTTTTTGGAAGGATCAATTGTCAAAGGTTGATTGGGATAATTATCGTTGTTCAATCTGACTTGAACTTTGCGAATGATGGGATCTTGAGTATGGTTCAATGCCACTCTGAAAATGTTGTTGTTGTTGTTTGTCTGAGAGTCTGGCGTGTTTTTGAAACCGACCATTAGATATCTCGCTGGTTTGACGGTGTTGGTAATTGGCCACTTATTGACCCTTATCCTAGCAAGGTCTGCGTCATTTGCTACAGTTCTGACCGGTTCTTTTAAAACTTCTCCATCACCGACATCGGGAATCCATCCCGAAACTGAATCGTAGTTTTTGGGATACAGAACCGTTTTTTCAACATTGTGTCAAACTCGCCGGGGTGTTTTATGGTCTCTATCGGATTTGAACCAGCTTCCAAAACCATTTCGCTAAATAAAGACGGAAAGAAGTTGTTTTCTAAAGTCTAAAGGTTTGTGGAATTCGATTCTGAGCGGCGTCTTTGATTTTGAAATCGCATCGGAAATGGGCATCGGAAAGCAGCAACCAATTGGACAACGAATTAATTTCAAAGGTAACTCTTCCTCCGTCGTTTATTTGGGTCTTTGTCCCTACCGATGGTGAGATGATTACGTAATCCTCTTTCTTCTTGTTGAACGAATATTGAATCGGATCATACAATTGAAAGATTGGATCTAATCTGTAATTTTTGCTTGCCATTTTTATCCAATGATTTTAAACCCTTTTCCTTGTTTTTCTAGGGCTTGTCGTTCTAGTCTCTTGTTTCTTAGTTCTCTTATCAGCTGCAGTTCTTTAAGTTCCTGAGATTTTTTCACTGCATCGCTAATATTTACTCCTGCTTTTGCCACAGATCCAAGAGCTTGCGCTTCTGAGGAAATGAGCGATTTGTTGTTTGAGACGAAATTGGCCACTTTGGGGATGAGAGATGTTTGCGCAGAGAAGAAACCATCTCCTTCGAATTTTTTTTGTTCGTGTTTTAAAATTAAAGACATTTTTAATGCGGTTATTTTATACTGTATTATTATAGTGATTCTTGTCTGTGGTTTGGGTAATTTATATGGAGTCTGTTATAATACAGTTTGGGGAGTCTGTTATAATACATTTTTAACAATTGTGTCTTTTCGGATATGACGCATTGAAAAAGCTGCGCATGCGCAGAAGTGAAATACGTCATATCCGAAAAGACATATACTACTGAGCTCTTGTGCAAGAGTTGATGAGTATCAGTTTCTTTGAAATACACTTTAATATCCAGTTTATTTCTATCTGCTATGGAATCTCCCTTAAAGACTGTGGTATCGAGAAAGTCTATGCTTTTGTCACTCACGTTTGCGGTCAGTTTGATAGAAGGATGGTGGTTGTTGAGAATTTCAAAGAATTCCCAAAACTGTTCGATAGAATAAGTCCAAACCATAAAAATGTCATCCAAAAAGCGTCCGTAAAAAAGTGGGTCAAATGGACAGAGGGGCAACACCTCACGTTCCCACTCTGCCATGAAAAGGTTAGCGTACGAAGGGGCGAATCGTTTGCCCATTGCTTCCCTGAAGTTTGTAAATATGTTTTACCATTAAATGTGAAATCGTTTCGACTAAGACAAATCTCTAAAAGCTGTAGAATTGCATCGTCAGGTCTGTTCGGATCTGGGTTTCTATTAAAAGCTTTACGAACTGCCGTTAAACCAGTAGTGTTATCGATATTGGTATACATAGAAGAAACGTCGATAGAAATTAAAATAGCATTAGAGGGAACTCGAAGATTTTTTATTTTATTGACAAAATCGGTTGTGTCTTTAAGGTAGGCGCGATGTTGGCATGCTAAGGTAGTAAGAAATAATCAATGTATTCTGACACTCCATATGACTCACTCACACAGTCAGATATAATCGGGCGGCCTTTAGGGATTTTATTCGAGATAAACCACTCCTTGGTTGGATTCTTATGGATTTTAGGCAAAGTGTACAAAAGTCTCTCGCGACAATCAGGTTTGGCAGACAGATAGTCATATTGTTTCTGTTTGAGATAACTAGTTTTGACTAATTCGGCAAGAATATTATTAATCATGTTAGCAGTTTCTTTGAAAATTGGTTTCGGTAAAATGGCATAATGTTTAGGATTATTCAGTTGATTCTCTGCTTCTGAAACGTAATCCTCCCCATTCAGAATGACACAACATGAACCTTTGTCACTCTTTTTAAAAACAATGCTATCGTCTTTCTTTAGTAAGTTTAACGCTTTAGGCTTTTCGTGTGTTATGGAAAGGTTCACTGTTTGGCTATTCATACTCGCAAATGCTTTCAATATTTCAGGATGGATGGCGGCCTGAGGGGGTGTCCACGTGGATTTAGGAATAAACATTGTTCTAGCACCACGTGGGGGGTGGTTTCGAAAAAAATATGTGCAGCTAAGATTTCGTTGAAATCGTTCAATGGATGGTCGGAGATAATTCAAGTTAGCTATCTTTGGTGTGAGAATAAATTTAAGTCCACGGTCTAAGATTGAATGCTGAAGGGGTGTGAGAATTTTGCAACTCAAGTTAACTACAGTTTGGCCTAGCGGTGGCCTCTCAATATTTTTATCCCCAGTAATTAGTTTAAAGACTTACTCGATGCTTGAAGCTGGTGTATCCAAAACAAATAGATGCTGTTTCTGGAGACCAATGAAGATTATCAACTGTTTCGAATTCTTCTTCGTAGGGTGGTAAGATTGTTGCGCTGTTGATACTGGACTCCATCATCATGTTGTTGAGAGTGCTGAGGTTCTGTTGTGCTTTCTTCGAGATTTTATTTGAAATGGGTATACATGTGAAGAGGATCTTGGAGTTTGGGAAGGTTTTGTTGGCTGTGGCGATTAATTTCTGGGCTTGGTTAAAGGAGGTCTTTGGTATCTGATCACGGCTAAAAACAGACTTTATGCCGAAGTACCTCCAGGTTTAAGAAGTGCTCCATGTTTGTCCAGTAGATGCAAAACATGCCCCTTTATATCAGAAACTCATTATTTTGTAAGCAACTCTACAAATAAAAGGTACCCGATCCAGGAACATCTAACATGTGAACATTCGAATGTAATATATTTAATTTCATGCAAGAAATGCCCCAAACAATATGTAGGAGAAACTAAGAATAATTTACGAACTCACTTTAATGCTCATAGGTCAGACATAAAATTAAAGAAAGACAAGCCTGTTTCTAATGGATGGCGTGGCTAAAACTACTACCTTGATATACTATGAGGTTGCCGATTTTTTCTTAAGCATTGCTCCAAGATTCATCAAACTACCACGCCCAGAGAAATACCCTAATTTAACAACAACTGTTAGAGATGTTGATGGTAATAACAAAGATATCATACTCTATATTGACGGTATAATCATTCGAATTCAACGCCCAGACCATGCAGGAGATTCTTACCATTCTTGACACCTGATGCCACTTTCATTATGAAATACTTCCTCATTTATTGATATATTTCCGCATATGAAATTGCGGTTCGGATCGTTGGTAGATTAGGTTTTATTATTGCTATTACTATGATAAAAACACAAAAACAATAAAGTTACGGTTTAGATATAGAAAGGCCTATAGATAGGCTTACATTAGTTTTTATAGTAGGCCTATTAGTTTAGGGATGTTTTAAATGTACTTTCTATCAGACCGTCTTGCCGTTCTACCAAGGGAACGCCCACTCGATATTTTGTAAATATTTACATGTTTATTAAGGGACCCTTTACTCAGCCACCTTTTGATAAATATAGAGTCAGCCCTTTAAGTTTAGCTACGCATAGATATTCTTTAAAACATCGTTTAGTTTTAGACTTATCTTCTCCTCATGAGAATTCAACTTTTCAAAGTATTAATGATCTCATAGACAAAGACCATTGCTCTCTTACTTATATTCGTATTGACGATGCAACATCCTTGGCTTTGTAAAGTTGATATCGCTGATGCATTTAAGCTTTTGGCTATTCACCTTGCTCAAATGAGATGGTTTTGTTTCAAATGGAAAGGTTATTATTATTTTTTTGTAAGATTGGTTTTTGGCTGCCGTAGTATCCCTAAATTATTTGATTTATTAGCAACTGCTATCTGTTGGATTGCGCAAAACAATTGTATCATAGAGGTAATTTTTCACCTTTTGGATGATTTCTTAGTAATTGATAGACCTAGTGTTTGTGCTGAAAGATGTATGGCGTTACTATATTTAATATTTGGTCGTTTAAACGTTCCTTTGTCTGCCAAAAAATGTGTTTGCCCTGTTCATAGGTTGGAATATTTGGGAATTACTATTGATCGTGATCTTATGCAAACTATTTTACCATTGGATAAGATTAAGCGCATATGTGATTTTATTAATGTTATCATTGATAAGAAATCTATTACAAGAAAGATGCTAGAACTGTTGTTAGGGCATTTGATTTTGCTATGTGAGTGATATTGCCTGGAAGGTCTTTTGTTAGTTACCTATATAGATTGATGTGTTCTGTAGTGTAAAGGAAAGCTATTATTATGTTCATTTGAATTCTGAATGCAAGTTTGATTTAATTATGTGACAGGATTTTTAAAAAAATTGGAATGGCTTAAATATGTTTTATGAACCAAAGGAAATTAGTTATATTGACTTCGAATTGTTTACTGATGCATCATCAACATTAGGTTTTGGAGGTTATTATTCAGGGCATTGGTTTTCAGAACAATGGCCTATTTCTGTGGAATAGACAGGGAAAAGGATTTTATTCAACTGTGATAACATGGTGATTGTCTTTATTTTGAACAAAGGTCGGTCAAAACAGGCATATATTATGAAATTAATGGGGGGTTAACCATGTGTGCATCTAAATTTAATTTTATTTTTTACAGTACATATATTTCTACTTATGATAATGATATTCTCTCGTTTTCAGATGGACAGATTCAGACTTGTAGCTCCGAAAGCAGACATCATAGGTACCCCATGTCCAGCTGTGATTTCAGTTATTTGGATTTCGGGGAAGGGAGGGTTTGATTCTCCCAAATGTACAGGCCTAGGGTGGAGCAGACACTTTATTTAGATATTAGGATTAAGGGTCTTGATATTGGGTTTTCTTCTGTTCTTATTCTGATCTGAAATTAGAAAAAAATAAGAAGTATAGTATCTGTTATGTACTGATTGTTTACTATGGGCGAGAAGTATAGTATCTGTTATGTACTGATTGTTTTTAGTTTACTATGAACAATATTATCATTTAAGTTCTTATTTTTTGAATATGCAACTATTATTTTCTGCTTATAGACATAGGGGAATTTCTCTTGAAGGCTCTTATAGTGGGCATGAACTATCTTGCTTGCTCGATTGCTGGTTGTATTAAACGGGACAACAAAGGGTGCTATGCCTACATTATAGGTCTTGCTGTATTCAATGTCTCAATCCATTGGGCCTCCCTAGATTGACGGAATTTGGTAGTTTCATCTCCGGGCAAGTCAATTTCTATACGCCCAATTGGGATTAGGGTGAGATCGTCTATTGAATGGTCGTCGAGGTTGAAATGATTAGAAGCAGGCTTGTCAATAATTGTTCACCAACAGATTTCTTCAGAGCAGTTTTGCAGACTTTAACCATAGATTCAGAGCAACCATTTTGATGTGGAGCAGCAGGAGTAGTAAATTTCCACGTCATTCGATTTTCAACACAAAAGTCTTTTAAAGTTTCTTCATCATATCCTTTGATCATTTGTATCAGTTCTTTTTCAGCACCAACAAGTTGTGAACGATTATCACTTAACATTAAAGAAGGAGTCCTACGTATACTGAAAAATCTTCGTAAAACTTGTATAAACTCCATGGTCGAATAATCAACAGCAGGTTCCAAATGAACAGATTTAGTGTTCAAACATGTAATAATGTTTCTACCAATTTTGACATTGTAAGGACCGAAATAATCAACAGCAGTGTAATAAAAAGGCGGCGTAAATGGAGCTAAACGAATTTTGGGCAATTCCATCATAAATTGATTTTCAACTTTGTGTTCAAATTCTTTACACACAACACATTTATATTTTACAGTCTTAGTCAGTTTATGAACTATCAGTATCCAATATTTTCTTCTTATTTTAGCAGCAGTAGCAGCAATTCCTAGGTGACCATTATTGTGTGTCTGACGAGTTATTAATAAAGATATTCGATGATCATTGGGCAGCAAAGCAGGGTGTTTAGAATCGTAATAGACAAAAGCATCATTCAATCTACCACCATCTTCATCTGTAAATGGGCTTAAGGTTTTAAAGTCTCCCATTTGTTGACGATCATATAAACTAAGTTGCGCGCGTTTAATCCAGTAAGTTTCAGAGTTAACCAATTCTTCAGCAAATAAAACTTCTTTTCTTTCAACAGCATTTCTTCTTTTAGCAGATAAATTCCATATGAATCTTAAAATATAAGCAGTTACTCGTATCAGTTTGTTCCACGTAGAATAGTTATTACAGTTAATAATATCTTCATTAACAGTTACAGCACTCACAGAGTTACGAATTTCCATTTCCATATCAGTATCAGCTACTTTAACAGTGTTAATAGGCCAATTTTCTTCTTCTTCTAATAAAAAACTTGGACCATTTTTCCATCTTTCAGTTAATTGACTAGCAGGTATACCACGTGAAATATCATCAGCTACATTATCTTGTTAACGAATATGATACCATTGAGCAGGATCAGTTGTATTCTGTATTTCACGAATTCGGCTTGGCTTTTTATCCAGGCAAGAACTATCATACTATCTGTCAGGAAAATAGTTTTCTCAAATTTCAGTCGTGTTTCTTCCATAATAGTTTTATAAAGACGAGTAGACAATACATCAGCTTGTAGCTCTAAAACGAGGAATTGTAAGTTTGTTCAACGGTGCTACTCTAGATTTAGCAGCAATAAATCTAACATGGTATTCATCAGAGTTTGTTTTCCATCTCAGGTAAGCACAGGTACCAAAAGCTTCTACAGATGCATCAGAAAATATGCAAAGTTCAGGTAAGTTAACAACTTCTGGAGGTGTCAAGCATCTTTCAAATTCTATACCATTTAAACTGTTCATTTCAGCAAACAAATTTAACCATTCAGATTGCAAATTTTCAGGTAAGGTTTGATCCCATTCTAAACCAAGTTGCCACAGTTTCTGCATTCCGCTCTTCAGTCGTACCAAAAATGCAGCAGCAAAACCAATTGGATCAAATAATCTTCCAATTTGACTCAAAATTCTTCTTTTTGTCAAACAAACAGGAACATTAGATTTATCAGCAAATTCAATCTTAACTTTATATGAAAAAGTGTCTCTAGTATTATTCCAGATGATTCCTAAAACCTTTTCTTCATTTATATCAGTCAACAGTTTCAAATCTTGATTTTCAGGAACAGGTAAGCAGTTTAATACTTTATTAGATATCCATCCTTTAACTTTACATCCACCATTAGCTAGTGCAGAGTCAATATCAATAGTCAGTTTCCTAGCTTCATTTACAGTTTTAACTGAAGTACATATATCATCCATATAAACATCATTTTCTAATACTTAAGCAGCTTCAGGTAAATTAGATTTTACTTCTTCAGCAGTTTTCTTTAAAGCCATCTGAGCCATAGCATGTGCTGGCTTAACACCAAATGTCAATACAGTTTTGACATATACATCAGGAGGTTCTTCAACATTGAGATTTCTCCACAGGAACCTGTGAACATGTTGATCTTCTACAGGAATCAGTGCATCTTGGAAATATCCCCACAA